ACATTAGATGTGCCACTGTGCAGGGTGCAGTGGCACATCTAATGTTAAACAAAAATCTGCACACCAGTCAAGCCATAAGACTTACTTTTCCCACAGAAATCACAAATCTGCAGTAATGTTACTACCACAAAGGATTCTGGGTGGACATATGCAAATGAGTTTGTATATTTGGATACTTGGACAGCTGTTTCATTGTTAATGCAAATCATTAGCATAAAGTTGGTTACTAGTTTGCTTATTGAGGCTTGGCAGTGCTTGGGAAGCAAAAGTCAAAAATCATTGCAGATTTGTGATTTCTGTGGGAAAAGCAAGTCTTATGGCTTGACCAGTGTGAGATATATATATATATATATATATATATATATATTCATTCCATGTGTCCTTTGCACGTACCCCTTTAAATATTCTTTATCCTTGTGGCTTGGTGCACCCAGCGTACTATTATATATTCAATAAGGTCAGAGGTGCAATCGCAGTTGTTCCAAGTCATTCTTTATTAATCGGGATAGACTACTTTGATGAAATAATTTATTAATAAAGAATCGCTTGGAACAAGACCTGTGAGTGCACCTCTCAACTTATTGGATATATATATATATATATATATATATATGTATATATATATATATATATATATATATATATATATGTGGTGCACATTTGCATTGTGGAGCTGGGTGCCTGGGACCCCCGGGGGCACCGGGCCAATGCTAAAACCATCATGGTTGTTACCCTTTGAGGGAGGCCCTGCCAATAGCTGTTATGCAACAAGCTATTGTCTTTCTTTCTTGTTGTGAATTGCCATTCAGCTATCAGGGCTGCCTTTAGAAATCTTGAGGTCCCTTACACAGTCTTGGCTCCTGGAACCTAACCAGGAGTCTTCCCACAGGGCTCACTCTAAGCAATATAAGCATAATTTAGTGGTACTGGCAGTGTTTGGTAAATATGCTGACAATGTTTGAATTCTATAGCTAAAAGCAAATATGTGATTTTTCTGCTGTCATTTTAATGCATTTCATAAAAATACAAAGATAAATACAGATATGGCATCTGAGAGTGAGTGGGAGCTCTATGGGTGCTTAGAGTTTAATTCAATAGGGACTGCTTTTATAGTTCCATTTCCCTGTAAAGCCAAAAACATAAATTTATAAAACAGAGCTGTGCAGATTGAGACTATAGGGGTAGTTGGTAGTGTAGTACCATCATACTGGTTAATGAGAGATAAATCTGATAAGAACAGTCAAACTGTTATTTATCCCTACTGTATGAATAAATGCAGTTAATCTGAGTATAAATATCATTAAGTCAATGTTGTACAAATCAGGATAAAACTATGTTTTCATGATCAGGAAAGAGATCTCTAGCCATACGTAGGGACCCATACTTCCCCCAATCCCTGTCCCACCTTTGTTCAATGCTCACTCACACCCTTTATACCAGAAGAGGTTTTTGCTCTGCTTTGGTCCTCCAGCCCCACCACTTGTTCCCTTAATCATATTCCCTCACATCTCAATCACGTTGTGTCTTCTTCTCTTGCTCTGCCCCTCACTAAAATATTAAATCTCTCCTCTCCTCTTCAAGCACCCATCACACTTTTTCTAAAAAAGCCCAACCTTTGCCCTAACTCTCTATCCAACTACTACCCTATCTCGCTACTACCATTTGCCTTCAAGATCTTTGAGAGAATTGTGTACGCTAAATTGACAGACTTCCTTGAATCCAACTCTCTGCTCGACCCATTCAGTCTGGATTTAGCATTTGCAGCTCTATCTAAACAGCCCTGACCAAAGTATGCAATGATATAATTGCTGCTAAACCCAGTGGTCTACTGGTAGTCTACTCTCCTTGACCTTTCTGCTGCTTTTGACACTGTTGATCAACAACTTCTCATCCACAGTAATCTGGTTTACGAGACTCTGCTCTTTCCTGATTTTCACCTCTCCCAGCACTCTTTCAGTGTTTCTTTTTCTGGCGCTTCCTCATCTCCCCAACCTCTCTCTGTCAGTGCTTACTAAGGCTCTGGCCTTGGTCCCCTACTGTTCACTATCTATACTGTCTCCCTTGGTAAACTCATCAGCTCTTTTGGCTTCCAATATCACTTCTATGTAGGTGACACTCATATCTATCTGTCCTCTCCTGATCTCTCATGTGTCTCTTGTATCTCTTACTTCCTCTCTACTATTTCTAACTGGATGGCTGCTCACTTCCTTAAACTTAACTTCTTTTCCTTCCTCCCTCAATTGTTGCTACTCCCGAGTCTTTTTCCCTCCAAGTCCACAACACTCAGCTCTACCTTGCCCCACTGCCTAGGTGTTCTCTATGACTACAACCTTGTCTTCACCCCTCATGTCCTGTCACTTGACAAATCCTGTTGCTTCCATCTCAACAACATAGCTCACATTAACCCTTATGAAACACAGGATACGGCTAAGGTGCTGGTCCATGCTGTTATAATTTTTTGCCTTGACTACGGCAATTCACATCTAAGTGGTCTTGCACTGGGAATGCCTGCCCCATTACCGTCTACAATATGTGAATATGACATCTTCTTGTCTGCCTGCACTTCCCATGCCTTTTCTCTTTGTCAGTATTTACACTGGCTTCCAATAAGATTTAGGGCTTAATTTAAAATTCTGGTGCTTACTTACAAATTTCTACACTGCTCCTACCTACCCTCACTAATACACTAGAATGTCCTGTCCTGGCCCCTACGCTCTGCCAAAGATCTGCATCTATCCTCTGTTTGAACTCCTACTTCTGATGCTTACCTTCAAGACTTTTCTTAAGCTGTGGAACTCCCTTCCTTGCTCCGCTAGACTCTCACCCAGTCTCCATTCATTCAAAAGATCATTACAAACTCACTTTTGTAGGAAAGCATATCAAGTAAACTGTTAATGACCTTGCTTCCTCTCCTGTAACTTTGTCATCCAAAAACCTAACCCTTCATTATAAACTATTCTAATAACCTACTTTTTCCCATACATGAAATACAGCCTACCCTTATCTCCTGTGTTACTTTACTCCACTCACCCTAGAATGTAAGCAGGGCCAACTACTGTTCTGTGCAACCAACTCGTCTTGTTGCAATTACATATCTGTTTGTCCACCTGTTGTACAGCGCTATGGGATTTTTGGTGTTTTATAAATCATAACCCAAAACTCAAATACAATTAATGACAAAATCCTACATTCATGAATATAGGAAAAAACATGAAAAATAAATAACTTTATAGTTTATTAAACTGGGACTTGATAGGTCAGTAAATAAAATAAATGTTTAAAACGCAGGACAGATGAGGCAATAATCCATTTTAGGTGTCACTTGGGTATTAACCTTTATTCCTTTTAATTGTTTTCCTCATGAATCAACAGCAGAATTACAAACGTTAATAAATAAACAAGAGCAAGCCTAAAAAAGTCTGATATTAAACAGTATACACACTCACTAGCAGATACATAAAACGTAGAAAACTAATGTTGCAAACAGAAGTTGCATCCAAGCTATATGTTCTAAACAGGAGAATAGTACAATAGGTACACAGTACATAATGTCAGGATCCAAAAATCTAAATTCTGAACTTTATTCATTTTTCTTAAATTCGTTACTGCAGTAACTAATATTTGCCTCTAGTGGCCTACCTAAAAACTAGCACAGAGATTTTCATCTCATCCTCACCTGCCTGGACTAATTCAGATCCTTTAAAAGGTTACACCCAACTCACCTTGACATTGAAGTTGATGATTGCCTGAAAGACTTCATATTCTGGCTCCTGTGTTATAACCTGTGGACTTGACTCACCAACCTGCTCCAGACTTGCCTGAACAACTCTACATTCCTGCTTTATTTACAAACCTGCACTATACCAAGACGTATATATGGAATCTCTCACACACTAGTGAATTTATAACAGTGATTCTAAAATCCACATACAGTGATATAGAAATTTCAATTTAAAGTGATTATGGTGGAATAAACAAATAGAGAGTAACTTCCCTTAGCAATATAGGATATGCCCGAAGATTTCCTCCTATCTTCAATTCAACAAATATATGGTATAGGGCTATTCCAAGCTATGAACAAATCAGCATTCCTGCTTGACTTCCAACTTGCTTAATTCTATACTGGACTTTAATTTATTGTTACTGTGTGGCTACCTGTATTACTCCTACATTGGATTTACAAACATTCCAGATAATATTGGCATCTATCATAAAAGACCTGTTACTACAGTACAACCTCCAATCCAAAAGACTGAACAACTAAAAACCTATATAACGTAATCTTTATATTTCTGTTTAGTTGTTTGTTTTCATTCTCTCAATCTACCTACCTCTTATAGGTTTCCCTGTTTCTTTATATTCTGTTCTGGGGCATATTGCATAAATTATCTTTTCCCCTAAGATTTATACCTATAATTCCTCTTAAAGGTTTACAGTTGCAAGAAAAAGTATGTGAACCCTTTGGAATGATATGGATTTCTGCACAAATTGGTCATAAAATGTGATCTGATCATTATCTAAGTCACAACAATAGACAATCACAGTCTGCTAAAACTAATAACACACAAAGAATGAAATGTTGCCATGTTTTTATTGAACACACCATGTAAACATTCACAGTGCAGGTGGAAAAAGTATGTGAACCCCTAGACTAATGACATCTCCAACAGCTAATTGGAGTGAGATGTCAGCCAACTGGAGTCCAATCAATGAGATGAGATTGGAGGTGTTGGTTACAGCTGCCCTGCCCTATAAAAAACACACACCAGTTCTGGGTTTGCTTTTCACAAGAAGCATTGCCTGATGTGAATGATGCCTCGCACAAAAGAGCTCTCAGAAGACCTACGATTAAGAATTGTTGACTTGCATAAAGCTGGAAAGGGTTATAAAAGTATCTCCAAAAGCCTTGCTGTTCATCAGTCCACAGTAAGACAAATTGTCTATAAATGGAGAAAGTTCAGCACTGCTGCTACTCTCCCTAGGAGTGGCCGTCCTGTAAAGATGACTGCAAGAGCACAGCGCAGACTGCTCAATGAGGTGAAGAAGAATCCTAGAGTGTCAGCTAAAGACTTACAAAAGTCACTGGCAAATGCTAACATCCCTGTTAGCGAATCTACAATACGTAAAACACTAAACAAGAATGGATTTCATGGGAGAATACCACAGAGGAAGCCACTGCTGTCCAAACAAAACATTGCTGCATGTTTACAGTTTGCACAAGATCACCTGGATGTTCCACAGCAGTACTGGCAAAATATTCTGTGGACAGATGAAACCAAAGTTGAGTTGTTTGGAAGAAACACACAACACTATGTGTGGCGAAAAAAAGGCACAGCACACCAACATCAAAACCTCATCCCAACTGTGAAGTATGGTGGTGGGGGCATCATGGTTTGGGGCTGCTTTGCTGCATCAGGGCCTGGACTGATTGCTATCATCAAAGGAAAAATGAGTTCCCAAGTTTATCAAGACATTTTGCAGGAGAACTTAAGGTTCTCTATCTCTCTTTCCTATAACTTAAATTATAGGATATCCTGTTTATACAATATTATCTAAGATCACAAATAAAGACCCTGAAGTTAACCACAGTTTCAGTCTCATGCCTGACCTGCATTAGATCATGACACATACAGCACTTGCATTTTATTGAATATATAACAATGGTACTGCTGCAAGTCAGGCAACTTTTAATCTGAAAAAAATCTTAAAAGAGAATTACCTTACAACAGAGACCACATTCTATTAACTCCTGTAATTAGTGGCCCCTCATAACAAAGGATACAAAAAATCTAATCCAAATAAATAAATACTGGCCAGTTTCTCTCATTAACACAAGTAGCTCTGATTAATTTATAACAAGTATGTACATTTGCAGAATGTATTTATTTACTTCTGTAGGGATTACTGCAGTGGCAATTTTTTGGGGGGAGCACCAGGGCATGTTCTCCCATTGAGCTCATTGGCCTGCCAGCTTTGTTTTTAAGGTAAGGCTTTTGACCCAATTTGGATATTTCCACTTAGGGGTGTACTCACTTTTGTTGACAACGGTTTAGACATTAATGGCTGTGTGTTGAGTTATTTTGAGGGGACAGCAAATTTGCACTGTTATACAGGCTCTACACTTACTACTTTACATTGTAGCAGAGTGTTATTTCTTCTGGAGCTTGAGGGAGGTTATGATACAATAAGTACAGTGGGTTCTGAATGGGGGCTGATAAAGATGGAAGCTGAGAGGTAAGAGTGGGATATCGGAAGAAAATACATTGGTAAGGAAACTATATCAGAAAAGGTAACTTTTTAGAAAAAGGCTTGTAGGAAAATTGACAAAAAACTATTTAAATTTTTGGAGAAGTAAACCTGTTCTGCCTTGGAGAATAAACTGGAAAAGAATACAATGGATTGAGAAAATTGTTGTTGATAAGAAAGTTTGGAGTCCGGTAAAAAAAGACAGGTATGAAAATAAACAAGAGCTAGTGAAAAAGATGGGGTTTAATATGATAACAGTCAAATGGAGTATAAGAAGGAATGAGAGACTCAAACCGAATGGTATGTCTGTAAAGAAAGAACCTGTAATCAGTAATGCAAAAGTCAAATGAATTGGGTAATAAGCTATTGTTTATTCAATAAATTTAATTTTTTTCTGTATGCATTTAATAAAATATTGCACTCCTCCCCAGGGGGGAGCACTGGTTCCACCCCTGGATTACTGAACATGCACACTCTGACATCTTAATATGTGTAACAGTTTATATTGGTCCAAGTGAAGGAAAATGGGTTGGTTGGAATTTCTCAGCCAGATTCCAATTCCAGCAGACATTGCTTGAAAAAAATCTTAATCCCAGAGATTTGTATTTTCTTTTTTTTTTTTTTTAATTAAAACATTTTTAATCTATCTAATGCATTAGACAGGTGGTAAATCAACCTTGGCATGTTTTTCCTAATGAAGTCTGACTCTAACTACTATTCTAGTATAGCTTAATACAATCTGACATTTCAACTGTTCAATTTTATGACATTGTAGACTGTTTCTGGCATCACTGACTTCGCTGCTGTCAGTAATATGCTGTATGAGACCAAATAATTTTAGCTGATCAACTAAAATATAGCATATGCCACTTAATATTATAGTTGTCATTCAATCTGCTATGATTTCTGTCTAACTAAGGAATACTATTCACAATAAACAGAGCAAGCCCTGCTTTTTTACACTTGTAAGTAAAATTAGAAATTACACAAACAATGGAAAAGAAAGGGAAGAAAGACATGAGGAGATATGCAGAGTGGGAGCTTATTTATGATTATGCAAGACTTTTAAAAATTCTTTCTGTTTTCTAGAATGGGTATTCTAGAGCCAATGTAGTTTGTGCAGTTCACCCAATATGTGGTTATAAACAAATCTCTCTGTCGTATGACATATGACTGCATGCTGTAAAAGGACAGTAAGAGTGAGAAAAGACTGTATATCATTGTTATCTTTATTCCACCTCTGGTAAGGCAGAAAGTCAGACCATGCCTACAGGTTTAAGATCTTGCTCCAGCTAGAGCACCACATCGTGCGTATGTGCTCAGCAGGGATTTTTGGCAAAGTAACAACTATTTCATCACTTTCCCTTGGAGTTAAAGAACACGTGGCTTTATATTTCCTGCAAAATAAATGCACCTGAGAGAACTTGAATAATTTGTGTGGGGTGTTTGTCCTGTGGATTCTTGCACTTTGCCTCTTGACATGCAATTTATTGTCAACAAATAAATAAAAATAAGTATTGTTTAACAAGATGCAAATTATATATTAGGCAAAAGCTTGGAGGCCAATTCTTCAATTGTAAAATGAGCTCCAAGACCCATTCTTGAATTTCAGTAGGATAAATATTGAAATAAGGTCTAAAAAAAAAACTATTTTATTAGATGTTTCAAAGTTTGAATGATTATCTACTGCAACAGGAAAGTGAGTACTACTGCAATAAACAACTGCTTCTTACAACCATTGGGTAATGCACACATTAGCTCAGAGAACCAGTTTTTGGTCCCAAACCAGAGGTTAGGAACCAGTCAAATATGCAAAAAGCAAAGTACAAGAGAATCTCATATGTTACAGACTAAAACTCAATATCTTTATCTAGGTACACTAAACACAGGGATGGGGGTGTTAGTTAATGAAGACCAAGAAAAGGCAGAATATGTAAAGAACTAGTTCTCCTCAGTATATATGAAGGAAGAACCTATGGCTATAGATATGCAAATAATTGCTGTAAAAAACATGCAGAAAAGTAGTGATTTGATGACTCATGACAAGGTGCTGCAGCAGCTAAAGAAAGTTAATATAAACAAAGCTCCAGGGCCTGATGGTATTCACCCACAGGTACTTAAGGAACTAAGTGTGGAAATAAGTGAACCTATGTTTTTAATCTTTCAAGATTCTTTTCTTTCAGGAAGTGTACCGGAGGATTGGAGGAAGGCAGATGTAGTTCCGATATTAAAAATGGGTGAAAAATCCTTGCCTGGAAATTATAGATCAATGAACTTAACTTTCATGACTGGGAAAGTATTTGAAAGCTTATTAAGGGAAAATATTCTGGAATTCATTGAGAAGAACATTATCAGCAAAAATCTGCATAGTTTTATGAAACATAGGTCATGTCAAACTAACCTGATTACATTCTACAAAACAGTTAGTAGAAGTATAGACCAGGGTGTTGCACTGGATGTAATCTACTTGGATTTTGCCAAGGTGTTTGACACGGTTCCACACAATAGGTTAGTGTTCAAACCGAAAGAAATTGGTCCAGATGAACATGTTTGTTCTTGGGTAGAAGACTGGGTAATTATGTTTATAAATTACTTTGAAATAAGCATTGAAAGTCAAAATGATCAGGATATTACTTTGCTGCAGAGAGATTTAGATTTAGACTGGGGGACTGGTAACTCAAATGGCAGATGAAATTTAATGAAGAAAAATGCAAAGTTCTGCACCTTGGAGTAAAGAGCCTATACCCTAAATGGTATTGAATTAGTGATAACAACATACAAGAAGGATTTGGGAATTGATATAGACAACAATGGCCAATGTCAATCTAAAGTAGGATATTATGGCACTAGAAAAAGTGCAGAGGTGGGCTACAAAATTAATAAAATTAATGGAACATTTTAGTTTGAAGAAAGGTAAACAAATTTAAACCTCTTTAGTATAGAAATACGATGATAAAATTATACATTTATATTCAAGGCCAATACAAACAAATGTCTGGAAATCTATTCACAAACAGGACTATACATAGGTCACAAAGTCACGTGTTTAGACTGGAAGAAAGGAGAGTTAGTTACGTTTTTTTTTTACCGTAAGAACAATAAGGATATGGAATTCTCTTGCCTGAAGAAGTGGTTTTATCAGATATTGTACAGATTTAAACAGAAACTGGATGCATACTTGAAAAAACATAATATTCAAGGATATAATTTTTTGTTTTTGGAGTAATAGCTTCTCGATCCAAGGATAAATCTGACTGCCAATCTGGGGTCAAGAAGGAATTTTTCCTAGTTTGTTGCAAAAATTGGAAGTGCTTCAAACTGGTTTTTGTGCCTTCAGCAAAAACAGAAGTGAGGAAGGCTGAAATTTATGGGCATATGTCTCTTTTCAGCTTCTGTAATTTTGTAATCTCTGAATATTTCCAACTCAGAGTTCCTAAGAAGGTATTAGCACATTTTCATTTGTTGATGGAAAAATACTGCAAACCTACCATAGTGGCACCAAAGTTGCTCTACGGACACAAACTCTCACTGAATTCTTCAATGGCACATTGAGTAAGAAGTTCACATATCTTTCGATCTGGGGGCACACATTGTTTTTAGGTTATCTGCATATTCTCATGGTTTGTGAAATCTAAGATGATAATCAAAGTAAACCGTTTCTCACTTTACCTACCAGCTTTTCAGTCATATTTCATTAATGAGACCTATGTCAGCAATTTTTTGTTACATTGTGGTTCTGGACTGCCCCACCAAACCGAACAATCACAACAATCAGGTGTGTTATAGATATAGGGCTAGTGGCGTTCACACAACCAACACACAACATGGCGGTGGGCACCTGGTCGCAGGGGTCACAGGGCTGCGACCCCTGCGACCGTGGTATGTACGCCAGTGCATGCAGATACACATACACTTAAAGGACCACTACAGACACCCAGATCATATCAGCTCAATGAAGTGGTCTGGGTGCCAGGTCCCTT